AAAATTTTAAAACTCACCTTATACTATATATAATTAAAAGTTTAATATATATTATATGTATAAGAAAAGTCAGTCGAACTGCTAGTACACCTCATTCACGAATCAAAAATATGGATCCTAGCCTTAATTTAAAATTTATGGGTTAATAATTTGGGATTAAAAATCAACTAACTTTAATTCTCTTTTCTCCCTTTATATATGTCAAGACTAGACAATTATGGTCTTCCTAATTCTTGTGGAAATGGTTTCCCTCTTCCTTCTGAATATGATCTTCCACGTTCAGATCAAGGTGAAAATGTTTTCTCTTCTTCAAGAAATGGTGGAACTGGACATCATGCTTCTCCAACTCTACCTCCTCCTCCTCCTCCTCCAGTGATTCTCCCTAAGTCATGTTTTCTTTAAGTTGAAAAATACGAAAGCCCTATTGGCATGTAAACATCAAGATGGAAATTATGTGTGTGCGCATGTTCTGGAAATGAAATTGTACATTGACAGATTGGATATGTTGGGTGTCGTTTTCCCAAAGGAGCGAGCCATCGAATTGGTTCTGGTTTCGCTTCCAGAGTCATATAGTCAGTTCATTGAGAACTATTATATGAGCGACTTCGACGTGACCCTAACTGATCTGAATCAAATGTTGATTGATGTTGAGGCATAAATGCTTAAGAGCACAAGTGAAGAAAAGATGCTTGAAGGATCAGATTCCAAAATTTCCATGGACATTGACAATGGTGGTTCAGAAAAGTTTTCTCTTCCCAATGGAAAGGGATCGGCCAAGGTCAAACTATTTGATCGTATGGTAAAGAGAAAGGATAATTCTGAGATAATTCCATGTGCTAATCCTAAAAAGTCCAGATGTTTCTATTGCCAATTGAAGGGACATTGGTCGCAAAGCTGCTCAGACTACCTGAAAGATCTTAGAGATGGTAAAGTCAATTCGTGTGACTCTACTTCAGGTATAAATTCATTATTTTAATAAGTTCATATTCATAGACTCTTAAAACATGATGTGATGATCACATTATGATGGTTTTGTAGGATCTAAGAGAAACAAAGAAGCTTAAAAATAGTGAGCTAAATCTGATCGTGAGAAATGGACTTCTGTCGCATGGTTCGATGATCGGATTTTGGAAGCTACTGCTTAGGAGTTGTGATAATTTACTAGAGTTCTTAGGAAATGTCTAGACACATAGTTTTCAATTTATGCATTGTAACGACAAGTTCCAAAATTTTCGTTTATTATTAATAAAAGTGAAATTTTGGTTTTTCCATACAATGGCATCAATGAAAGTGTTGGTTACATTTCTATTATTAGCAATATTAATTGTGGATTTGATTCTTGTTGTTTCATTTGTGGTAATGTCATAGTTGACTAAGTGATAAAGAATTCTCATCACCCAAGTTTCAATTGGATAGAAACTTGGAGTCATACAATTTGAATTGTGTGATGTATGAGAATCTTGATCATTAGAAAATTATGACTAATTCATTGATCACATTTTTATGTGAGTCAAAGTGAAAGACTAATGGATCTGGTACATGTTGATATGGACTATTAAGATCCACCACAAAGAATAAAAGCACTATTCGTCTTGATTTACTGATGTTTCATTAAATATAATTATGTTTATAAGATTAAGTATAATTCTTATTCTTTGAAAAGTTTCAAAGAGTAGCAAAACGAATATGAAGAATATATTAGGCGGAAAGATAAAAGTTTCTCCAATCTAAAAGGAAAATAGAGAACTTTAGTATCATGTTTTATGATCATCTTAATGATTATGAAACTATATCACAATTGATCCTCAAAGAATATCTTAGTGCATTTGAATGACTAAGAAGAGGAATCAGATATTTTTAAAATGGTCCAGTCAAGAGATGAATCGTACTTCGTATCCAATCAAGTTTTAGAGCCATGCTCTAGTTACTTCACAACGTATTTTGAAAATTATTTTATACTAAGTAGGTTTATAACACCTCATGAAATGTGGAGTAATAATGTTTTCTTACTCAAGCACATTTGGAATTGGAAGTTGTGATTTTTGGTTAAAACAAATGATAAACAAAGACCAATTCCATGAAGTGTTTCTTGTCCACACTAACTTTTGAATATTTGTCTAGCTCGTCAAGGAATGTTCCTTGAGAGAGAAAACTTATATGTCAAGAAGACAGTGGGAGTCTTATGATGGGTTTTTGGAGGTTACAACACAATGCACTAAGCTAAAAACATTCAAACACTCTTCATTATAGCCTCCATCACCTCCAAACAGCATTCACTAAACCCTAGCCCATTTTGAGAGTTCTTGAGCCATTGTTGTGTGTTTTTGGTGATTTTGAAGCTTGAGAAGGAAGTGAAAGCTTGGAGGTTCTTGAGGAAGCAAGTAGATCCAGAGATTGTGCCACTTTTCCAGCTCATGTGAGGTATAAAGTCTATACCTTGTTCATTCATTTATTAGATCCCTTCATGGGGTAGTTTAGGGCTTTATGGAGCATTCTATGGAATCATTCATGGGTGCAAGCTTGCCTTGGAGTTATAACTTCGGATCCAGAGCCTTAGAGTGACTCCATGGCATAAAGGTGCCAACTTTATGGCCATGGGAGTCTCATGCATCATGTAAACCTCTTTTTAGGACCATTTGAGCTAAATACCCCATGCATGAACGTAAAGTTTGTAACTTTACGTGTTACATCGACCCTAGAAGACCAGATCTATGCTCTGAATGCATTAAGCCCGACAAAAATCGACTGGATAGACTTGGACTTTGGGGGACTCAACGAGTCGCTCATATGACTCGGCGAGGCGGGTCATGGTTCCCCAACCTTTTCTGTTTTTAAGCAAAATGGTTGAGTCTGGAAGAGGACTCAGTAAGTTGGACGTGTTTATGGACTTGAAGATCAAAGAACTCGACAAGTTCAAGGATGAACTCGGCAAGTTGAAAGCAAATGTCCCGACTGAGATGAAGATGAACTCGGCGAGTCATGAGCAAATGTCCCGATCTCGTATGAAGGAGAACTCGACGAGTTCAAGGAGAACTCGGCGAGTTAGGGATAAAAGGGTCCCGACTATGTAGGAAAGAACTCGACGAGTTCTTGAAAAGACTCGATGAGTAGGATCGAGGTCCCAGAGTTTTATGGACCCAGGAACTCGACGAGTTGATGGACCAACTCGGCGAGTTGAGTCAACCAAATGTTGACTTTAACCAAAAGTTGACCTTGACCAGGGTGTTGACCTTGACCTTGACTTTGACTTTAACCCGAGTTGACCCTTGAAGGGTTGTGAGTATGGAAGAGTAATTAAAAGAGGTTGTTATGTGTAGGAGTTTGAGAGGAGTTGATCCCAGCACCAAGGCTAGTTCAGACACTACGCGATATTGAGGTGAGTTACCTTCCAGTAGAGGTAGGTCTACGGCCACAACGCCGACCCACTAGTAGGAGTTGTTGATAGATGATTGTCTTTGTGATGATTATCTAGGTTTGCTACTACCTGATGTGTCTTATGTGCTAGCATGATATGTTGTATGTGATAGTCGTAGTAGGAGGGAATAGTCCCCAAGTTCGGTCGTTAGGACCAAATGGTAGGTCGGACACCCTAGATATGGCTGACAGTATGCTTATGTTATGTTATTATGTGGTAGTAATAGGGGTGAAATAGTCCACGTAGCCGGTTGATATAAACCGGAGGGTAGGTCGGGCACCCCAGAATTGCCTGGCAGGGTAGGTCGAGCACCCCATAATCGCTTGGCAGGGTAGGTCGAGCACCCCATAATCGCTTGACAGTGTAGGTCAGACACCCCAAAATTGTCTGGCAGGGTAGGTCGGGCAACCCAGAATTGCCTAGCAGTACGATTGTGTTATGGTATGTGGTATGATAGGGAAACTCACTAAGCTTCGTGCTTACAGTTTTCAGTTTTTGTTTCAGGTCTTTCTTCTTCGAAGGGAAAGGAGTCGGCTCGATAGCAACGCATCACACACACACATGGTTTCGCATTATGAGACTCTTGGGATTGTACTTTGACATTATTATTCTATGATATGTTTTGAGATTTATGACGTATGGATTTATGATATGAAATGATATTGATGTTGTTTTCAGTAAACCATTTTATAAAATATTAAATTAAAAATGAAATTTTTTGGCATGATTTTTGAAATGTTACATATAAATGAGTCAAATGGTGATTATTTGTAACAAAAATATGAAAATAAAATAAAGTCCACAAAATTCTACATTTAAACCGTACCATTTTAACCACAAAACCGAACTAGCACATTTTTTTTGGATAAAAACCGAAACCGCATGTAAAACCGCAAAACCCACCTATCGCTTTTTACCCTACAGAAACCGCACCTTACGGTTTGCGGTTCGGTTTAGTTCCAAAACCACACCAAATCGCATCATAGTCACCCCTAACTTGGATCCAAGGTAAGCAATATGAACATTTAATATATATATATATATATATATATATATATATATATATATATATATATAAGTTAGGACGAGGATGGTGTGGTTTGGTGTGTGTGTATATATATATATATATATATATATTAGTTATATCTTGAATTTTAAGAGGTACAAAATACAAAACTTTTTGTACAAATCAATTATGCATAACAAAACCATTAATACCTGCCAAAATTTTGAAGACTTGAAATAAGGAAAATTATTAAAAAATTAATTTGAAGCAAAATAACAATTTTAAAATATTAAATTCATCAATATAAGTTGATTTACATTTCTTAAACTAGATACCGATAATAATTAATTTACATCAAATATATAAACATACAATATAAATATAAGTTCTAAACATAAATATTTTAATTAAAAGTGGTAATTTTTCTTATTACATAATAACTAATAACAAAATCTAATAATTATTTTCCTGTAAGAAAACTATTCGCCAAAAAAGTTATTTATCGCCGGTGCTTTGCGCGGGCACACATCTAATATGTATATATATATATATATATATATATATATATATATTATTGTAACATCGTTGCATACCCTTCTTACTAGACAGATCCGCCTCAACATGGCATTATTATTCTATAAAACAACACATAACTGGATTAAATCTTCACCGATAAATACTTACTGATTTACAGGGGTCACTCGTTTGTCTACGAAGCTTGGTACTTTGTAACTCATTAGAAGGGGGAAAAGCAACAGAATTATGCCTCCGCCTCTTTTTTGGCCTGAGCTTGGGTGGTTGCCCTGGCGCTATTTCTTGTAGATTGCCCTACATTTGAAAAAGGAATTGTTAATTGATAGAGCCAAATTGACAAACTCGATTACTTATAACTTAATGCTTAAAAACAAACGGTAGGTGCCTGATATTCGAGACTCGGAAGATCTCCAAACAAAAGATACTATAAAAAGGAAACTATACTCATCATCGAAGGAAACTAGAATCCACTAGATAAATACTAAATAATAAAGATACTATAATAATCATAAATTACTAAACAGCCCCTGCTTTCTTTTTGAGCCTCTGGTAGACCCGATCCCACTTACCTATTCGGTTCATGTCATTAATCTGATGCACTTTAGGGGAAAAAAACATGTATTTTAGTAATATCAAAACCTTTCAGATCAATTTAGAGATCTTGTACCATATGAATTAAATACTATTACTAGCTAACCATTAAATCAGTATTAGACAAAGAAACATGTAATATGACATACCTTTGAAGAGGAGAATATAGAAGAAAGGTAGTCTTGATCCTCCACAAAGATCTGCAGATTGTTGGTCTTCATGAGGAACTCAACTGCTTCCTCATCAAAATCCAGCAGATAACCCAACCGGATCAATTCAGACAGATCCCGCACAAGTTCTTCCTTCTCCAACAACACCCCCTCTGCTATCTCCTCTGCAAAATGAGATGCATATTCAATTGCATATTTATAATTAGAAGAAGTCTTCTTCTGCATATATAATTTGGAGTGCTGTTTGTCCCAATGGATCATTCGCCTTGGTTCCACATCCACCACATCTCCAGATGAAAAAGTCAACCTGTATCGGGCCGTCATTTTTTCTGGCGACTCAAAAGCTTCAAGTGCAAGTACACAGGTAACAGCTTCATGTCTCTTACATGGATCAAGTTTAAGATTGTGATCAGCAAGAAAGGCAAGGATGAGTTTCAGCAACCCCTTTTTTTTATTATCTTTTCTTTTAAATTGACAGCATCTTCATCTATATCAGATATAATATTTTTTCGTGCAGATTGAGACAACCTCCGAACACCAATTTTTGTGTAGATGTCCACAAGCTTGGTTCGGGTTATGAGAGATTTTACACTTGGCTGAGGAAACCATGCAAATATGGGATGAGAGTAGCAGCAGCTTTGAAGAAAGAGATCAGTCAAGAAAAGGTCATCCGCAATGAAGATGTCACGTTTGTCAAACAGAAAAATTCCATTCGAATTAGGATCCAAAACAGGGATTTTTAGCAAGTTGTTACTGAAAGTCTCTTGTGTTGTTGGGTACCAATTTTGAACCACAAACTCCCAAAAGGCACAGCATTCATGGAGTGTTATCTGGCGTCCTGAAGTTTCCCATGTCTTCCACAGCTTGCAGTAGTCTTCAACAGAGGGATAAAGTTTCACATTCAAAGTATTTGCAAACAAGTCGAGGGTTTCCTTGTCATACTTGGAATTCTCCAAAATGTTTAATTGTTCGCCAAATAGATTGTTTTTGTCATGGAGGACACAGTCCTGATGCATTACCCATTCTCCGTTGTCGGTTCCCCTTGGGATCCATATCCTTGTGTTGACTTGGTCAACAGGCTCCCACTTAAATGTAGACAAGTAATTATAGATTCGAGAAATAGTTTCAAAATTGGAGTGGCATTCGATATGATTAGCGACCAATCGGCATCCCTCCTTGTTAAAATCAACAATAACTCCTAAAAGACTGAGCTCATGTTTATAGGATGCAATGGTGGATCCATAGAACCCTTCATCAATGAAAGGCCCATCATTGCATTTCAAGAAAGGATTCCAGTCAGAAGAGAAGAGCAAACACTCGTCAGGGCGTTTGTAGCCAAAATAGGTTTTCAGCCAATTCTTTTGAGACAGTTTTTCTCGAAATTTTCCAAGAATCATATCTTTCCCTTTCAGTTCCTTGACAGATTGAAGCAAGGTGTAGACAATTTCAGGAGCAAGGGTACTGGAATCTTGAGGCAAGACAAGGCCATGGGCCAAAAACTCAGCACAAGTTTTGAAATCTGTAACAACACCAAACTTCTTCAGCTCCACACGATAGTCATGGATTTCACTTCCATAGAAGTCATTGGTGTCGTCAATGAAGGGAAGCATGGAGATTGAAGAAATCAGTTCCCAGTCTGTACTAAAAAGAATGCACTCATTTGGTGATCGGTAGTCGCCAAGCCTTGTTCGTAGCCATTTCTTTTTGCGTATGCAGTTCTTCAGATCCACAGGAAGTTTTAGTTTCAGTTTCTTTAGCTTTCTGTAACATTTCAGAAACGAAAGGACTTGTTCTTTTTTGATTGAAGATGAAGATCTATTCTCGAAAGTCAGAGTAAATTTTGTGATGGCATGCTCAAAGTCCACCACGACACCGATTTTCTTTAATTCATTGGACATAGAATAGATAGACCTCCCATAGAAGTGTTCATCAATAAGTGGGAATGATTCGAAGACCTGAAGAAGGCAACCCCATTGAGACTCTGGGTTCAACAAGAAAGAGAAATATGGAGCATTGTAACCCAAGTTTGTCATCAAGCACCGACTGTAACGAATCGCATCCACCAGCTTATCTGGCGATTGGAAATTCTTTATGCATTCTAATACCAGTAACATGGCTTCAGATGGCAAATAACCAAGTTCACATGGGGATTTGACGTTGTCCACAACAAGCTGATAATTCTGGTTGAACTTCACAACCACACCCAGAAGATCTAGTTCATCCTTGAAACAAAGTATCTCCTCACCATAGTAGTCTTGATCTATGAATGGGATGTCACTTATCCATGAAGCAGCAAGCCATTCCTCCTGACTGAACAAAACAGAATTGCCAGGAGTCATTTCACCTTCAACTGTTCTAACCCACTTTTCTCCTCTCATAATTTTAATCAACAAATCACTTGTTGGATTCGCTCCTCCTAGATGCTTAATAAACTTAAGCACTGAAAAGAAATTGTCTTTGGTAAGCTTGGCATGATCCATGAGACGCTTACCAAAGGCGTCCATCTCCTCAAACCTAATTCCAATCGTTTCTAACTCATCTTTGTAATTCTTTATCTCGGCACCATAAAACTGCACATCTACCATTGGGAATTGTACAAGATCTGATGCATACTGTACAAGGTTCCCGATTGATGAGTCTAGCATGAATGACCCGGCGGGAGGGCCGTACCCAGTACTTCCACCCGAATAAATCTTCAACCAGCTGCCATTTTTAATTGAAGATAGAAACCTTTCTGGTAGATTAATACTAAACCCTGATGCCCTTAACTGGCGAACCCATTCTAGAAGCAAGAATGTGTTTCTTTTTGTGAGAGGAGAAGCCAGAGTAGGAATAGCAGCATTCGGGGGAGATAGATTGGGAATATCATAAGCTTTAAGAAATGAAACAAGCTTTTCACCTGATGTAACATCACAAAAATAGGTCACATCACAGGTATTATAATCTTCGCCCAGTTCAACATAATCATGCTTCTTCCAAGGATTATTTGGACCAATCAGCTCCACCCATCTGCTTCCATTACCAGGTACAACAACTCCACGTCTTGTTTCATTTATTTGCCCGTATTTATCAACAATTGGCATGTCCCTACACAGATTTCGAACCTCATGCTTCCAAAAGTAATCATTTTGTGAAGAAGTATAGAGGAAATGGGCATACATAACAGCCAGCTTGCGATCACTGTGGACTGAACGACTGACAAGCTCAGCATATTCATAAACACTCACAAAACTAACCTTCACCTCGTCTTTAAGCCATGCCACTATAGTTGGCATCTCCGAACATAATTCTATGCCTTCTTGTGTGACTTTGGGTAGAAAGAATTTACCAGTTGAACATCCGAACTCTGTGTTCCAATTAATCAACCATGATATATGATCACAATCTGCAGCCAGCAGCCTGTTTCTACCAGAGATTGGAGTAACTAAATCAACATTTCCATCCTTCCCAACATACTTGATCAATGGCGTATTCTTCATGTTGGTTTTGTAAAAACAAGACTCCCAGCTTTGTGTGATGAATAACAGAAGTTGTATGTAAATGTCTTCTGAGACGCCCATTACAAGATTAGAGCTTCCGATGCATTTTGCATACCATTCATGATCTATAAATTGGATTTCCAAAAAGTCAAGAATGGCATCGTACTCCTTTTTATCAAATGATGAAGCAATGATGTATGAATCATGCGATAAGATATTGGAAAAACTCACGCCTTGGCTCATTGCCTCGTTCATTATGCTCCAAAATGCAGGCTTCAACCTACCAACTTCCTTGGGTTTATAAAACAGCTTCTGAGGGGTGTTGTATGACTCGCATGGGACAATAGTCTCGTTCATCAGGTTTGCTTTAATTGCATCCCGGACAATATTCAGCTTCGGATGATGCGACTTGTTGACAGGTAAGAACCAAAACATGCTTAGTACATCTGTTGAAGATTTCACGAGTGAGGTAAACGCATTCACAAAAGCCATTGGAACACAGTCAAGAATTCCTTGGTTCCATTTGTTGTCCCAGAGGATATTTTCCCTTGATGAAGCCAAGAGAAAATCGGCTTGCATTATGAATGGAAAATTTGTGATTGTACAAGTTGGTAAAAACGAATAGATACCAGGCAAACTTGAACCAAATCTTTTTCCATATGGAAAAGCCAGAGTGATTTCCCACTCTTCTACCTCTGTTCTAACTTCAACTTTATTTTCCTTCTTCACTGGAAATCTTTGCTTCCACATGTAGTACCCACATCCTCTGTCAGCTTCATCGGCTGTGAGATGAAGTGTATACGATTCGGCATCCTTGCTCTTTGTAGTAACAATCTTTTTCTCACTGGAAATGGATATAGTGTTTAAAGTGTTAAGCTTAGGATCCTCCCTGACAGAAAGCCGTCTTATTTTTGAAAGAAACAATAAAACTTCAGGATGGAGACTCGAGAGCTGATCCTTGACTGGTTTGACCTTCTCTGGCTTTAAAGGAAGTACTAGAGTTGTGGTTGGCAGGTCAGTAGCCAAACCATATATGCTTTTAATGGCAGATAGCATTGGATCCCCCTCCAGTACCCATTCAGGAACAATATAACCAAGGTTACACTGCTGGCAAGGCTTTTCATTAAACCGTATCTGATACCCATTACTGAATATGTGTGGCTGAGCTGTTACCAGAAAGACACTCTTGAATCCAATTCCTGCAATGAAAAATTAGACAATGTATCAGAATACAAAGTAATAGAGCCGACAAGAAATACAAAGTAATAGATCATCAAACGAGCTTATAGCTCCATTTTAGCACACTTAGGACATATTAAGGAGCCTTGACTTATGATAAACTGAAGATGAATGAATAGAGGGAAAACAGCTTATGGTAGGGATGAGAATGGGATGGAATAGATACCGACCCGGGAATCATGAATACCGAAATGGGTGAAAAAACGACACGGAACCGAACTAACATTATCGGTACCGATACCGTTTTTTGGTACCAATGGTACTGAATCTTGAATTTCTTGATTTTATAGTACCAAGTACCAGTACGGGATCGGGATTTGCTACTAACTGTTCATCCCTAGCTTATGGAAATGATTCTGTAATTCTGTAAAGATTAATACATGAGTAACATTTATACTTCCAGTCATGTAAAATAACTTCAGCTAGCTAACAATAATTAACAACTAACTTCAGCTAATTGACCAACAAGAGATGACCTGGCTACACAATACACCAACACCTTGTTCAAGTTAAAACAGTTGATAATATTGTTTGCAAGGGAGTTATTTTAGTGAACATGTCTACTAACTGAGGTTGAGAAAGAATATATTGCAGCGAAATGAAACCCCACTTGCAACTTTTTTCTAACAAAATGAGAATCCAATTCCACATGCTTATGAGCTTATCAGTTCGTTCATGAAAGACTGGTTTTTTAGCGATGCATATTGTTGCTTAGCAGTCACATCTAAAGGGGTGGGAGTAACATGATAAGCCACAACTTCAATCACATATTCAAGAAAGAGAAAGACCGGGGGAGGGTTACTTCTGTCATTGTATCTTGGCAAATGTATGACAAATAAGGAGGTGGTGACACCCGTGTACAAGTGGCAGGTGGGTGTCAATTTCAGATTTGTTGGGTTAGTTAAGAGTAGTGAGAGGTGTATAAATAAGAGGCCAAGGGTTAGAGAAAGGCACGATTATTTTTCTGTAAGAAATCTCTGTTGGAAGAAAGTCGGCCTTTTCTGCAAACTGCATCATAACATTAGGTACATAATTATACAGAAGACCAATTTATTTTCTCCTTTAGACCTTACAAATCCATAATTATTCAAACACATTAGGTAGACACAACTTTCATGTAAAAGCATAATAGCTTCAGCATGAGATACATTTGGCTGCGTTTCAAGTTGTTTTTGCCAATGAAAACTGAATTACAGGAAGTCTGTAGCTTCATTTGATAACCAGGGTCGTTATTTATTAGTAAATGCAACAGTCGAGTTAGCAACCCAAATAAAAAAGAGTCAAGTTATAGAACTATATTGCACGTGAAAAATAATGAGTCAACTATGAAATACCTTTCTCGCCTATATAACCATGCTTACGAAGGCCTTTCTTAGTAGAACGTCCAACGCTACAAATTGATTCAATATTCTTAGGTAGAAACCCTTTTTCGTTGTTAAAAACTAACAATGTCGCTGGAGCACCGGTGTTTGTTATGTCCTTTGATGTGATCACAAATTCCAAGGAAGGGTCAACCTCTTCTGGATACTCGTTATCCTCTGCGTTCTAGCATCCAACCAAAAAACAACTTAGAATAATTCTAGTCACAAAACAATGATAATTTCACAGATTGCCATAAATTTAACATCTCCGTTGTTTTTTTTCAAAAAACTATAAATCAATTTTTAATTTATATATATATATATATATATATATACATATATATATATATATAATAAATTTAAAAAATAAAATAAAATAAAATCATAGACTTTTGAAGTAATCCAGCCATAACAACATAGAAATAGATACCTGAATTAGTTCCATGAGAAAATGAACATCCTTGGTGTAACGCTCAGCAGACAGATTCTTAACAGCCTGATGAAGATCCTCTGTTAACGGATTCGGTTCTCCACCAACGGAGAACTTTTTCCTCCGTATCTCCTCCACATGTTCCCTTGCCGCCATCACGAAGGAACAAAAAAAAAAAAAAAAAAAAAACAATGCACGATTCGTCCTCCTCCACAAACAACTAACACACAGAACGTTAACATGATCGATCAGTCGTATAATATACATACTCAAATCGAGACAAGACAAACTTGGTTTTAAAAGTCGTAAAGCGCCCCATAGCGCTGAGCGAAAGCGCTCGCTTAGAGGTGCCCAAAATTAAAAAAATAAATAAATAAAAAATAATGAAAATAATTATAAAATTGTTAACTTCCACATATAGTGATATACTTAAAAATCCTTTAAAATGCATAATTCATATCAATCTCAAAATTGGTTTATCAGGAAAGCACAAAACACAAAACAGTACACAGTATCAAAGTTATGGTGTTTTCAGGAAAGCAATCACTCAGGCATTCTCAAGTATGGTGTTATCAGGAAAGTTTTGCATCAGAGTACAAAACAGTACCAAAACACATAGCTCAAAAGAGTATCAAAAGAGGTTTTATCAAGAAAGCAATCAAGCATTTTCGAGAAACTTACAAAATTAGAAGTCTTAATATGGAGTTATACGAAAAGATGCAATGAGTCGGTGATAACAATTACCAATTTCACAACACATATACAATTAACAACTACGAGTGATTACAATTAAGTGATTAACACAAAACACAAGTCACGAGTAACAATTTCACATGCATTTAATATACATATAGATCGCCGATCACTGATCACACTTACCAATTTCATAATTAACAACTGGAGAAGCCGATCACTGTTTACCGCCTCTAAGAGTCGTGTGTGACTCTTGGTTTCTATTGTATGCTTTATTTTTAATTAAACCTGTGTGCCCGTGTGCTTAATAGACTTTAATAGTACTTGATTAAGCCTATCTACCCTGGCCTAACTTAACTAAAAGCCTGTAATTCACTAATTGAGCTGGATAGCCCTTCAAGAATCGCAACACCTCTACTACGGTGTAAAGCGTTTTGGCCTTTTTGGCCTTTGATCACTGCATTAAGGGCTTTAAGTGCCCCTACTCAATGCTTTTTTATTCCAAGGAGACAATTTTGAGGAAGGGGGTCAAATTCAAGTCTTATGGCTAGATCTTTTCCAATAACAATCCTACTACCGGCAATTTTATGGTATGTTGCAGTTCTTGACTTCTAGCAAGTCTACAAGTTGCTAAACACATTAAACCTTTTAACATTTGTTTTTTTTTTTTTTTGGACATGTTCTTTTATGCCTAAGAAGACAGCTACTCATGAAAAGAATGCACAAAGATGTAGACTTTCGTAGTTGTTTCCAAGTTTGAACATATAAACAGCAATTGTTTTCTCCACTTCCAGTTTCCTCACAAACTATTTGGAGTTTAATAAAAAACAATAGCATAAAGCAGCCTTGCTTGCAGGCTGCCCTCTTTTATCTCACCACTATCCTTTCAGGCATAAGCTTAGACTGAGTTTGGTTATAAAGAGTAACTGAGTATTACGTTTCTGCTTAGCAAACATGAAAGATTTCTAATATTTAAAACTAAGAAGCAAAACTTTTTTTTAAAAGTGCAATCACAGAAGTTTTTATACATAGAACATTAATTACCTGGTAAGATTCGATGTCCAGTGAAGCAATGTGAATAACAACAGGTGACAGGCGCACGTCGTAACCTAAAGATGGAGAGATGTGATATATATATATATATATATATATATATATATATATATATATATATATATGGCAATAACGTAAATTTTATCTCGATCCCTAAGAATTTGGGTTTTAAATAGCGATGGGATAATAAGGTTTTTAAAAAGCACGTCAATATGATATATTATCCTAGAAATATGGATTTTATAGATCTATCTATTTTTAAAACCGAACAATCTATTTTCCAAACCAAACAACATATTCTTAAGATTTTAAACTCAAATCTGTTTAAATCCTTCCTAATTACATCAAAACAGACAACCGTTTAACACAACCAAATCTGCAAAGACGGATCCTAATACTGCTGAAAGTAAATTTGAAATTTTTTGCAAGAAAAAAAAAAAAAGGTTACGCCTTTGGAACATTGGATAATAGTTTGTCTTTACTCAATAAAAATAAAAATCAAAATAATAATGTTAAATAATATTTAAAATATATCTGACAAATCCGAATAAGCTTCAGATTTTATGCAAAAATCAAAATATGCAAATCTTCAATCTAAAAAGCCCTAAATTTTCAAAAACTAAGAGACCTAACCGCCGGTCGCGTACTCTCCACCGCCCCGGTCACCGCCTCCCAGTCCGTCCGTCAAAAAGTTCGCTCCGATCACTTGTTCGTCGTAAAACGTTGCTCCCCATCGCCCCTGTGTTACCGTGACCGAATCCGCCACCCGCCGGTCAGTGACGCTCCTGTGTAAGCCAAACTATATTCATTTGTTTCTTTTGCTTTTTTATTTATTTTATTACATAGATAAAGTATATAGGACTGGTCCCTGTTGTTTAAATAAACGTGCTTTTTCGGTTCATTTTTGAAAAGTTATTAAATCTCATCCCTATAACTTTCAAACTTTACGGTTTTGATCCATGGTCAATGTAAAAATATTATATTGTCATTTATAATTTTTTTTTTCTTTTTTCTAAAGGGTTGTTTGATGGTTGCTAACTGAGTCGGATCTAACTGAGTCATGACCTGACTGACTGCATCTGAATTTGACTGAAACCATGTTGTTTGTTTACGTATCTGACCGGCTGTGCTGACTGCTAAAAATGACAGTTTTACCCTTCTATTATATTTTGTCCTCAATAAAATATATCTCTTTCAAATCCAAGTAAAAACATACCGAAATTTAAACATGTTTAGTAGTACTATTGAATGTTATCATTGTAAACAATATAGGGAACATCAAGAAGTATTGGAAGAACCAAGGCATTCACATTTGAGAATCGATAAGAATGTCCACCACATAAACAAATATATAATTAAACTATACATCATCTTAACGAATATCTTCTGTTTCTCTCATCTTTGTTTCTTTACATAACCCTTTAATGATCAGATCATGCAAAAGACCAATTACGTCGCTAAAAAGGTCGCATCTTGATTAGCTTGACCTGAATTCATAATATCCAAGAACCAAATTATGTAAAAGATCAATTGTTTTGCATTTTCACATGAAAATTCATGAATAAATATAGTGATTATACCATTATACAACTCCCTGGAGAATCACATAACATCATCAAAAGAGTAATCTGCCCAGGACCACTCCACAACATAAAACAAATTACCTAATAAAGTGGTTTCAAATTATTATGACATGAATTCGTATAATATTTGTATTTCTTCAGACACTGCAGGTAATTAAGAAAAAAATCAATAACCCAACACAAAACACAAGCGAATTGATTGAAAAATCTGCATCAGTGGCAATTAGAAGCCAAAATCAAGAAAAAACGTAGAATGATCAAGCAAAAAGCCCAACCCAAATATGAAGTTCATCTAAAAGAGACCTAAGAATGTTGAAAATATTCAAAACTGAAATGGTAGTAAAATCAATCGGAGACCCATGGTTTCAGCAAAGTAATAGCATCAAAAGAATGAGTATCAGATTAACGAAAAGAAAAAAGAAAGAAAACAGGAAAACTTACAGTCGTACCTGAGCATGTAATTCCATATGTATTCTCATATCATAAAAAACAAAGAAGAAAACAGGAAAAGAATATGTATCAGATTAACGAAAAAAAAAACCTTACCAATCGATGTTGCAGGCGGTGGAGGATGTGTTGGCAGATGGCAGAGGACGGCAGTAGTGGAAGTCGACACAATGGAGGCATATCGAGGGGAAGAAGCGAGAAGCGATGGAGGCAGAAAAGAAGCAAAACGATGAAGAAGAGGCATGAAGGAGCGAGCGGGAAGTGCAAAACGAGAATGGCAAACGGGGGCAAATGAAAAGAAGCAAAAGATGAAGAAGAGGCATGAAGGAGCGAGCCGGAAGTGCAAAACGAGAAGGGCAAATGGAGGCAAATCAAGTTTAGGTCTCGTTTGATAGTTTCTGTCTGGAAAAGTGTTGTCTGGTAAAGTGCTGTCTGAGAAAGTTTTCTGACTGGGAAAGAAACCATGCTGTTTGATTCTACATCTAATTACTGTGCTGAATAATGAAAAAAAGTAATAATTCAATAAAAAATCAATTTAAAAAAAGTTATTTAAAAAAATTAATAATCCAATAAAGAAAGAAAGAGACTGGGTTTGGTGTATAATTGTCTTTCCAGCCCATTCAGCCAGAAAGATATGATTTTGGGGCTTTCTAGGAAAGACATATCTTACCGGGAAAGACCCATTCTTTTGTGCAAATCAAACAGTCTTTCCGGTCCATTCAGCCAGAAAGATCTGTTTGGACCTGGAAAGATGCGTATCAAACGGGGCCTTAAGTCTCGGTCAGTGTTAATTTTTTACAGGACCGAGTCAGATCATTTTTGTGGACCGGGACCGGGTCAACTGCCTAATCTATACAAATCAAACAACATGACTGGACTGAGTCAGACAAAAAAGTCTAATTGAATCCGGTCAGCACCAAATCAAACAGCCTAAAGACTCATTTACAAGTTTTAATGACATAAAAATAAAAAAGATCGCACCCCCTCTCGAAAGTGATGGTAGGATAATATATATAAAGCTATAACATTTTAATGGCATAATGATTTAAAATGGTAATATATTTTTCGATTTTTACATATTTGAAAACTAGTTTTTTCGTCCACATTTATCCCTTGAACTTGTTAAAATGTACATATTTAGTTCTTATGGTCGGCTACTTTAAGTAAGCCGGAAAATATGACTTAATAGGGTAATATATTTATCACTTTGTACACATTTAGTCTTTAATATTTTTTTGCACATGTAGTCTTAAATGTTTTTTGTTGCAAAATAAGTCATTGTTTTTGTACACATTCAGTACTTGTGACCGGTTTCTTTACGTTTTTCTCACGTTGTCCTATGTCGGACAATCATGAATAAGATGTTCGGAGTTGTTGATGCTTATGGTCATTGCGGCCTCGGTTGTTTCGTTGTTTAGGTATTTTGTTCTGAACGTCATAACTTCTTCATACTATCTCGGATTTTAACGTTCTTTATAGGTTCGTATTTGAGTCTACAACAATTTTCGTTTAGATTACTCACGTTAAAAAATAATATATTTTTACTTATGATTTTATAAAAAAAACGTTCATAAATACATTCATAAAGAACGTATGGTTATAAAGATCATAAGTAAAAATATATTACTTTTTAACGGGGGTGATTTAAACGAAAGTTCTAATAGACTCAAATACGAACGTATAGATATAAAGATCGTTAAAATTCGAGATCATATGAAGACGATACGGCGTTCAGAACACAAGACCTAAGCAACCAAACGGGTCGGCCCAAGGGTAAAGCGAGTTGGATCGTTGCCCAGGGCAGCAAAATTATTTGGGGCATCAGATTGTGTCGAGCTCTTATGGGTATCTCTTATTTGACCCAAACTTTTGATACTAAAGGGATGATGAAACATAAAATAAATCGACACAATTTTTTGGCTAAAAAAATGCATGCCTTACTGAAGAAGACGAAGAGACTGAGAAATATGAGGAGGCTAGGAAACTGAGGTATTTGAGTATTTCTAGGTTACAGGGACATTTTTTTTTTTTCGCAACGAGTTGAAAATGATGAAGCAAGAAACGAAGCAGGGTATAGAGAAATCAGAAACGATGTCCTCCATGAATGCTTGCTGATTAAAATAGGCATAACAAGGGTTGATTGTCTCTGAAAAATGAGGAGCTTAGAGATGCCTATTGAATCATTAGATGCCTCTTTCCCCGTCCGTGTACTATTGTAGGGTGTTTAACTCTCAATTTTACTTTAATTTTTTGTTGACGTGATTTTAGGTCTCTTATTCACTGTCCATTGTTATAGCGGAGCAGTTACTTTTACTTCAAAGTCATGTTTGCATGTTATTTGTTTTGTAGTTAAAGATCTTTTATTTCGTTGACTAACATCAAATAGGGATTATAATTTGTGTTTTGGAAGTTTTCTTGTTGATTTCTTGTTAATTCTTTTTTCAAATGACATTTTTCTTTTTAGTTAACCAGATTAACACTACTATTTCTATTTTGCCATATCTTTGCTTGCCTTAAGATTGGTTGTTGTGCCTCATCTTAATTCCTAATAAAAAAGGGGGTATTAATTTTGTATTATGGTGTTGGTATCTCCTCATTTCAAAACTTATATCACTGTTCATTGTTATATTCGGTTTCGATTACTTTGTTGGTGTTGTATCATGTCTGCCTCAAAACAAATTAACTATATATTATCAATTTTCAGCAATTTTGTATCGTTTTTTATGGTTCAGGAAATATCAAGGGCTGATTGCTTTGTGTTACTTCTGCCGAAGAATGGTCATGGAAGTTAGTCTTTTTATTTTTTTGCTTAAAAGAAGGTTTTGTTCTTTTGTATGTATCTAAATGAAAATATTACTATTTATGTTATATAGTAATATCTTTTGCTGAAGTTATGTTAAATTTGGAAAATAATACCAGTAGAGTTCATAGGAACTTTATATTGATCTTGTACACAAATCGTTGTACTCTCCCTCAAATCTTGACCGGTTTGAACAATATTGGGTTTAATTTTCTTTACAAAATGAGATTTTTTATTCCAATAAAAACATGGATAACTAATTGTAGGAATTGTTAGTTGTCATTATGAATGTATTATAACCATTATGGTTTGATTAATTATTGAATTGTTCTTGTATATGTTTCTTTTCTACAATAAGTGATGATTAATTATTGAATTATTCCTGTGTATGTTTCTTTTCTACAATAAGTAATGATTATTTATTGAATTGTACTTATATATGATTCTTTTCTACAATAAGTTATCATTGGAGATGGATATAAGCGATGATTATTTATTGAATTGTACTTTTATATGTTTCTTTTCTACAATAAGTCATCATTGGAGATGGGTGGTAGCGAGTTACCAAATGTACACAAAGCTACTCTCTATGTAGTTAGTATTTTTGCTTACCAAATGTATAAAAAGCTATTCTCTATGTGTTGGGTATTTTTGCTAGAGCAAACCAAGGTAAGGGTCTAATATTTATTTTCCTTAATATATATAGTTTCATTCTTTATTCATCTCAAAAAGGGGTTGTGGCGTAAAAAAAAGGTTGTGTCACAATCTGTTGCTCGTTTACCCGGTATGTCTTCATAAAAATTTCAAATCAATTCCAAAATTGAGGTTATTCATCTCATTAGTTGTCTATTTTCCTTTGGAAACTATATGGTACATGCAGTGGCGGACCTTAGTGGAGCATTGGGGGTCCCGTCCACTGCTCAATTTTCGGCACGTAGTGTAATTTTTTTTCTATTAGGTGCACCAATTTTAAGTACGAGGGACACCCTTATTAAAACAGCCAGCG